GAGTTCTGTTGTGATGTCAAGTGTCATAGACTTGTTACATGTACAATGTCTGGCCTCGAAATTCTGTTGTAATGTCAAGTTTCATAGACTTGTTACATGTACAATGTCCAGCTTCTGGGTTCTGTTGTAATGTCAAGTTTCATAGACTTATTACATGTACAATGTCCAGCTTCTGAGTTCTGTTGTAATGTCAAGTTTCTTAGACTTGTTACATGTACAATGTCCAGCTTCTGAGTTCTGTTGTGATGTCAAGTGTCATAGACTTGTTACATGTACAATGTCTGGCCTCGAAATTCTGTTGTAATGTCAAGTTTCATAGACTTGTTACATGTACAATGTCCAGCTTCTGGGTTCTGCTGTAATGTCAAGTTTCATAGACTTATTACATGTACAATGTCCAGCTTCTGAGTTCTGTTGTAATGTCAAGTTTCTTAGACTTGTTAGATGTACAATGTCCACCCTCTGAGTTCTGTTGTAATGTCAAGTTTCATACACTTGTTACATGTACAATGTCCAGCTTCTAAGTTCTGTTGTGATGTCAAGTTTCATAGACTTGTTACATGTACAATGTCCAGCTTCTGAGTTCTGTTGCAATGTCGATTTTATAAGACTTGTTACATGTACAATGTCCAGCTTCTGAGTTCTGTTATAATGTCAAGTTTCATAGACTTGTAACATGTACAATTTCCAGCTTCTGAGTTCTGTTGTGATGGCAAGTTTCATAGACTTGTTACATGTACAATGTCCGGCTTCCGAGTTCTGTTGTAATGTCGATTGTCTAAGACTTGTTACATGTTCATTGGCTGGCTTCCGAGTTCTGTTGTAATGTCGATTGTCTAAGACTTGTTACATGTACAATGTCCAGCTTCCGAGTTCTGTTGTGATGTCAAGTTTCTTAGACTTGTTACATGTACAATGTCTGGCTTCTGAGTTCTGTTGGGATGTCAAGTTTCATAGACTTGTTACATGTACAATGTCCAGATTCTGAGTTCTGTTGTAATGTCAAGTTTCCTAGACTTGTTACATGCACAATGTCCGGCTTCTGAGTTCTGTTGTGATGTCAAGTTTCTTAGACTTGTTACATGTACAATGTCTGGCTTCTGAGTTCTGTTGGGATGTCGAGTTTCATAGACTTGTTACATGTACAATGTCCGGCTTCTGAGTTCTGTTGTAATGTCAAGTTTCTTAGACTTGTTACATGTACAATGTCTGGCCTCTGAGTTCTGTTGCAATGTCAAGTTCATAGACTTGTTACATGTACAATGTCCAGCTTCTGAGTTCTGTTGCAATGTCATACATGTACAATGTCTAAGAAACTTGACATCGCACCAGAACTCAGAAGCCAGACATTGTCGAGGTAACAAGTCTAAGAAACTTGCCATCACAACAGAACTCAGTAGCCGGACATTGTACATGTAATAAGTCTATGAAACTTGACATCCCAACAGAACTCAGAAGATGGACCTTGTACATGTAACAAGTTGCTATGACATATTACAGTGGTGTAGGAGGAAAATGAGCGTATCCCCTGTATTTCGAGGATGGATACAAATATACCTTATATCATGTACAATGTCTGACCTCTGAGTTCTGTTGGGATGTCAAGTTTCATAGACTTGTTAAATGTACAATGGCCGGCCTCGGAATTCTGTTGTGATGTCAAGTGTCATAGACTTGTTAAATGTACAATGTCCGGCCTCGGAATTCTGTTGTGATGTCAAGTGTCATAGACTTGTTACATGTACAATGTCCGGCTTCTGAGTTCTGTTGTAATGTCAAGTTTCTTAGACTTGTTACATGTAAAATGTCCGGCTTCCGAGTCCAGTTGCAATGTCGATTGTCTAAGACTTGTTACATGTACAATGTCCGGCCTCTGAGTTCTGTTGTGATGTCAAGTTTCATAGACTTGTTACATGTACAATGTCTGGCCTCGGAATTCTGTTGTGATGTCAAGTTTCATAGATTTGTTACATGTACAATGTCTGGCCTCGGAATTCTGTTGTGATGTCAAGTGTCCTAGACTTTTTACATGTACAATGTCCGGCCTCGGAATTCTGTTGTGATGTCAAGTGTCCTAGACTTTTTACATGTACAATGTCCGGCCTCGGAATTCTGTTGTGATGTCAAGTGTCCTAGACTTTTTACATGTACAATGTCCGGCCTCGGAATTCTGTTGTGATGTCAAGTTTCATAGATTTGTTACATGTACAATGTCTGGCCTCGGAATTCTGTTGTGATGTCAAGTGTCATAGACTTTTTACATGTACAATGTCCGGCCTCGGAATTCTGTTGTGATGTCAAGTTTCATAGACTTGTTACATGTACAATGTCTGGCCTCGGAATTCTGTTGTGATGTCAAGTGTCATAGACTTGTTACATGTACCATGTCCAGCTTCTGTGTTCTGTTGTAATGTCAAGTTTCTTAGACTTGTTACATGTACAATGTCCAGCTTCCGAGTTCTGTTACAATGTCGATTGTCTAAGACTTGTTTCATGTTCATTGTCTGGCTTCCGAGTTCTGTTGCAATGTCAAGTTTCTAATTTAAGTTTTAATTCTTGTAACCATGTCAACCTTCTTAATATTGTTACCATGTTATTTCTTTAACTCTTTTGTTGTGGGAACCTTCCAAATATTGTTACCATGTTATTTCTTTAACTCTTTTGTTGTGGGAACCTTCCAAATATTGTTACCATGTTATTTCTTTAACCCTTTTGTCGTGGGAACCTTCCAAATATTGCTACCATGTCAAGTTTCTCAATCCTGTCATTGTGTCGACTTCCATGATATTGTTCCTTTATCATTTTTTTAAGCCTTTTTCCATGTCAACATGCAACATTGTTACCATATCAAATATAACACCAACGGGAAAAGATTCAAGCATTGTTACATTTCAACGTTTCGTTCATAACAAAATGTCTATCAAAGTTGACTGACAGTTTACTTCTCCTATTTAACATCATGACAAGTTCATTCTGATAGCCCGTTGTCGACAGGTTTTATAGATTTGCAATTGAATTACTTGTATATAAACAACCTACCAAAATCAAAGGCACTAACGCTATATCTAGACATTCTTAAGCACAATGTTCAACCCCACTGCAATGCCAGGGAAAATACCAGTCCCAAACTATAGGCTAATATTATGTGACATGCTTCCAGATAAGATACCCCCAAACACTTTGTAAAGATGGATTTTGATGAAGAGAATGCGTCCTATATTATGTATCAGATTTCCTGCATCAATGTTAGATACAAATCACCCTCGATATCCAGGGGTTTCGCTCAATTTCACTCTCTGCACCCCTGGAATATGTCATAGCAAAATTGAAGGCACGAACATAGCTGTTTGATTGGTTTCAGGTAAAAAAAAACCTGACCAATCGCTAGGCTGTTACCTGTCCTTTGAAGATTACAAAGGAGAGACGCCCGACTTCAAAACCTGTCAATTTTTACCGTTACTGGCCGCGATATACTTTTGATATACATCAAAAGAACGAACTAGTCTTTTTGTCTCATCTACAAGGTGGCGCACACTGAGCGTTCAAGTTTGCTATGACATATTACAGTGGTGTAGGAGGAAAATGAGCGTAACCCCTGTATTTCGAGGATGGATACAAATATACCTTATATAGTTATCTGTAAAACTTTAACCTGTCCCAGGCCAACACCAACACCTTCGTCTATGCCCACATCAATACACACGCACACATATTCCCTCACGCCAACGCATACGCCCACACTAACACCTAAACCTACCCTGACGCCCACGCCAACGCCTAGACTAACACGTACACCCACCCTCAAGACCACAACCACACATACGCCCACCCCAACACCTAAACCTACCCCGACGCCCACGCCAACGTCTAGACTAACACGTACACTCACCCTCAAGACCACGACCACGCCTACGCCCACCCTAACACCTAAACCTACTCTCACGCCCACGCCAACGCCTAGACTAACACGTACACCCACCCTCATGCCCACGACCACGCCTACGCCCACCCTAACACCTTAACCTAACCTCACGCCCACGCGAACGCATAGACTTACACGTTCACCCACCATCAACCCCACGACCACGCCAACGCCCACAATAACACCTTAACCCACCTTCACGCCTACGCCTACGCCAACACCAACACCTTCACCCACCCTAACGCCCACAGCCACGCCTACGACAACGCCCATACTAGCACCCTCACCCACCCTCACGCCCACGCCCACACCTACATCCACACTCATGCAATTGATGTTACATAGCCTCTCTGATGAGATCTTAAACAGCAATGCAACGCTAACACTGTACCATCGAAGATACAGTCCACGGACAGCAGCATCCAGTTCCAATAACATTACATGTACACAGAGGATGACATCGGGCGCGGCATCGCCGAGGTCGAGGTAGTCGAGGTCGACGTCCTGGATCTCGGAATCCAAAATCATTGATTACAGATCTTTTCCTAAAAATTAAATTTGTTTAAATTTAAAAGAAACAACGGTATCAAATGACCAATTTGATTTGAGTTTGAGCAAGAAATTTCATGGGATGAGGACGAAATGGCGGAATATCATCTGCAACAGGGTTAATATTATATTTTTGTATATACTGTAAGCATCTTCATCATATTCTTTATTTCGGGGAAAAAACACCACAACTACCCTGTAACAAGAACGTGAAATGTATGCGCTATATATATATAAGATCAGAACTTAAAGTTGTTGTAAAAAACAACCAAAAAGCTGACTTGAGAAGAAATCAATGCAAGAGGCACGTAGCTGGTAAGGATAGATAGCATCCGTCATTACTTCTTACATATAGTGTAACTGATTGTATGGTCATACTGTACATCAATTGTTATATACTGGATCTTTGTTGATAAATACAGCCTGTGCATTGTACGTCGATGACATGTACCTACTGCATGCATCGTACTATGTACATTGTACATGTATGTCAATATAAAGTAGTTGCACGTTGATGTATGATCTGTACGCTGATAGATGTTGTCCCCACATTTATAGGCCTATTGATACATAAAGTATCTGGTGGCCATGTTTGTTTACCTAGGACACCTGGAGCTGTATTCCTACACTGACCGAATCACTGTATATTGCAGTATACAGTCTCATATACTGGAATTTGGTTTGCTTACAACATAAAGGCAAATGCAACATAGAATGTAAATATAAATGTATAATAATATATACGGTCTGTATGCTGATAGAGGTTGTCCGTACATATATGTTTGACGATATATAATGTCTCTATGCTGATAGAGGTTGTCCGTACATATATGTCTGACTATAAATAATGTCTGAATGCTGATAGATGTTGTCCGTACATATATGTATGACGATATATAATGTCTCTATGCTGATAGATGTTGTCCGTACATATATGTATGACGATATATAATGTCTCTATGCTGATAGATGTTGTCCGTACATATATGTATGACGATATATAATGTCTCTATGCTGATAGATGTTGTCCGTACATATATGTATGACGATATATAATGTCTCTATGCTGATAGATGTTGTCCGTACATATATGTATGACGATATATAATGTCTCTATGCTGATAGATGTTGTCCGTACATATATGTATGACGATATATAATGTCTCTATGCTGATAGATGTTGTCCGTACATATATGTATGACGATATATAATGTCTGTATGCTGATAGATGTTGTCCGTACATATATGTATGACGATATATAATGTCTCTATGCTGATAGATGTTGTCCGTACATATATGTATGACGATATATAATGTCTCTATGCTGATAGATGTTGTCCGTACATATATGTATGACGATATATAATGTCTCTATGCTGATAGATGTTGTCCGTACATATATGTATGACGATATATAATGTCTCTATGCTGATAGATGTTGTCCGTACATATATGTATGACGATATATAATGTCTGTATGCTGATAGATGTTGTCCGTACATATATGTATGACGATATATAATGTCTGTATGCTGATAGATGTTGTCCGTACATATATGTATGACGATATATAATGTCTGTATGCTGATAGATGTTGTCCGTACATATATGTATGACGATATATAATGTCTCTATGCTGATAGATGTTGTCCGTACATATATGTATGACGATATATAATGTCTCTATGCTGATAGATGTTGTCCGTACATATATGTATGACGATATATAATGTCTCTATGCTGATAGATGTTGTCCGTACATATATGTATGACGATATATAATGTCTCTATGCTGATAGATGTTGTCCGTACATATATGTATGACGATATATAATGTCTCTATGCTGATAGATGTTGTCCGTACATATATGTATGACGATATATAATGTCTCTATGCTGATAGATGTTGTCCGTACATATATGTATGACGATATATAATGTCTCTATGCTGATAGATGTTGTCCGTACATATATGTATGACGATATATAATGTCTCTATGCTGATAGATGTTGTCCGTACATATATGTATGACGATATATAATGTCTCTATGCTGATAGATGTTGTCCGTACATATATGTATGACGATATATAATGTCTCTATGCTGATAGAGGTTGTCCGTACATATATGTATGACGATATATACTGTCTCTATGCTGATAGAGGTTGTCCGTACATATATGTATGACGATATATAATGTCTCTATGCTGATAGATGTTGTCCGTACATGTATGTATGACGATATATACTGTCTCTATGCTGATAGAGGTTGTCCGTACATATATGTATGACGATATATACTGTCTCTATGCTGATAGATGTTGTCCGTACATATATGTATGACGATATATACTGTCTCTATGCTGATAGATGTTGTCCGTACATATATGTATGACGATATATACTGTCTCTATGCTGATAGATGTTGTCCGTACATATATGTATGACGATATATACTGTCTCTATGCTGATAGATGTTGTCCGTACATATATGTATGACGATATATACTGTCTCTATGCTGATAGATGTTGTCCGTACATATATGTATGACGATATATACTGTCTCCATGCTGATAGATGACTCTCTGCGTGAAACCGTGATAGATATGAAAATGTATGACTCACTACGAAATACCATGATATATATGAAGAGCTAGGACTCATTGCGAAAAACCATAATAGATATGAAAATGTATGACTCACTACGTGAAACCGTGATAGATATGTAGAGTTATGACTCTCTGCTGGAAACCGTGAAAGTTATGAAGAGAAATGATGTAAGTTTGAAAAAAAAATATCACACGATGAAATATTTCTAAGATCTAAACTTATTTTTAGACTTAAACCTTATCAGACACAAATGTATAACTGTTTTCCGCTGATCATAAAAACTCAAAATCAAGGATATCTTCAGAAGTCCGATAGGTATCCGAAACAACTGTACATTAAATGATATAAATTTGTCAGTCAAGTGATATACCAAATAAACTTTCTTATACGAAAACGAGAATTGTTAGGCTCAAATGAAGTGTTTTTACATCACATGCCATAAAACGTAGTAAATCGTTCGTGATAATATTAACATGATATATATCCCAAGGTAAAGCTTTCAATGAAATTACCTCCAAGTTCCAAAATTTATAGTTAAGATAATTAAGTCATTTTTTGGGTATCAGTAGATACTAATAATCCACATCGACTGGAGAAGTTCGACTCTAAAAATACAAATAGAATACTTGCTTTCGAAAAGTTCCATTACACAGATCACATTTCTGGTTCCAGCAGATCCCGAATCCATCAGTTTGACAGCGGCAAGTCCTCAGCAAGTTTACACCAGGCGGACACTCTCCGTCCTGTGCTTCAGCAAGTCGCACGGATACAGCCACTGTATCCAATGATGACATGGAACGTAATAATTCAGGATAAATGTCATTATCAAACACGCCTCAGGGGTTTAAAACATATAGAATAGGAAGGAAAGATACATTTCCTATACTTGCATCATAAACAAACTTAAATGTGGAGTCATAGACTTGTTACATGTACAAGGAACATCAACACTGTAAAAACGAAAAATACTGAATAATCTGAAAACGTAAAAGGGGTTTTAAGAGGCAAGGTTCTGTGAGGGATACTGGTAAGCATGGCAAAATATCATGGATAATGTTGAAAGTGGTTCTAAAATAATGTATAACGTCTTACTGGCTATTAGATAATGGAAATAGTTAAAGGGGACTTTTAGATACGGGATAACAATAGATACAATAGATAGCGTGTAACATTAAAAAGGTAATATTTACAATTGCCACTGTTTCGGAATCGATAACCTAAGTGTGAGCAAGTCTGTTTATTTCTCAATAACTAGAGTGTAGAACGTGACACAGTTCACCGCGTATGAATATATTTAAATATTGGCGGAATTCTTTCCGCAAACCTCATGTCAATGTTTACAAACAAACGCTAGCATTTAGACTACCGTGCGTGCATTTAGACTATCTATGAGTGTCGGCCGCCATGACACAGACACGATGGCTATCGTTCCTAGAAATGTAGGTCAAACTTCTCGTTTCCCAAATGTTACATCAACAGTCACTCGGCCGACTAATGATTTAGCCACATCATACAGTGTACATGTGATATGTACAAACCTCTGGTCTGCTTACAAACAGCAATTTCAATAACTGCACATTAAACTTCCACCAGGCCTAGGCTAGACACCATGGTAGCTCTCTCTATTTCCTGCCCTGGGGCGCATCACTTTTAAACGATGGACGACCGCGGTCATTAGTATTTTCTACTAAGTATTTTGCCCCAGTACCTCAATTTACTAATACAATTATGAAGATAAATACGGATATTTTATGTGAATAGAAATATTGAAATTGAGGAACTTTTTTCATTTTTTGTCACGGATAAAGTGGGCGGGGTTTAGCTGTCTGTCAACGGCTTTTCAGAAAGGCTGTTTCGCATGGATTAACATGACGTCAAAATAATTTTGAACGCAGATTACACAAGGTAAATGCCTGTATTCGACTCTATTAATGGTGTTATTGTTAAAAGAAAATATTGTAAATATAAGGATTAACCTTTTATTTCGAAGCGTTTGCGAACAATTTACCTCGTGCTCCATTGGATTTATTATCTCATAAACAAAACAAAATAAAAGGTTAATCCTTAAATGTATCATATCAAAAGGGGCTATACGATCATTGATCATGGGTAAGAGGGACTTGAATATATTGGATAATGGTTAGAGGGGCAGTAGCATAATTGTTAACGTTCAGAAGGGTTCTTATAAATTAGATAGCATTAAGAGGTGTTGTAACATAGTGGATAACCTTGAGAGGGGCCATAAGATAATACATATCGTTAGTTTTCGTAATGTATAACGAATGACGTTAAGAGGGGCTATAACATAACGGATACAGATACACATAGTCCACGCAGACACTCAGAAACGCATTCGCACACTCTCGCCACAATCTCGTTTCTTATATAGGGAGAAAAAGGTCTGACACAAAGGACAATAAAAGATCCCAAGTATAGAAAGGGGGAGTGGGCTGGCGAAAAAAATGGGATTTAAAAAAACCTGTTTGAGATGTCAATATCAGTTCTGTATAAATTTGTTTTACAGAATTGCAAATGGCGGCCATTTATGATAGCCAAATTGTCGAAGTTAAAATAAGTAAAACGACAAAGAGGGAAAAGGTTTGATATCAAATGCGTGAAAAATTTGAGGAAATTCAATTTATAAAAGGTGCAGATACCATACCGTCACTTAAACAGAGATTTCAAAATCGATTTCATAAAGTGGATTGTTAAGCAACAAACACACAAATCGATTCGAATCCTTGTTGTAAAAATTCAACTACATTCAGTGGCGTAGCATACATGTAATAATGATAAATAATATTATACAACATTTATATAGTGCCCTATATAATTTGTAAAAATACTCTAAAGCGCTTTACAACATATAGTTATAATAGTTATGGTTATAATTGTGAAAACAAAAAACAAACGCTTACAATCTCTTTTATACATTAAAGCAAGCAATGTGCACATAATTGAACAAATAAAAGGGTGGTATTTACATGATGTCTTCTAAAAAGCAGACGTGAAGAGGTGAGTTTTGAATTTGGCCAGTGCATTTGACTTTCTAATACCAGATGGTAAGTGTTGTGTCATCCGCGTTACTATGTGCTCGAGTATTGCGGTATTCAATTAAGCATTGAACTGTTACCAGATGCAGTATACAGTCGATATGAATGCAATTTGGGTGACAGATAAATAGAATGTCGCCCGTTCATATAAAAAGTCGGGTTTTACTTGTTAATAATCAGACTAAAAGGATTTCCCAGATTACTAGACATTGTTTCTAGGGCCTAATAGAATTCTGTTTTTCCCCAGCTATGGGAAAGGGAACTTCCCCTCCCATACCCTCCCCTCATACGGCGCTACGCGCCTCGGAATTTCGGTAAGCATACACTCCGAAAAATGATTTGCTACGCCATTGACACTGAAATATGTAACAACTAAAGTACCCGATACAATGGATATCGTGAACCAGCATATCATTGTTATAACTGGTTACACAAATAATCTACTTCCAGTCCACCGCGTTGTTTACATCACTCAAAAAGTGTCAGGGAAATTTCTAACGTGATACTTTGCTTACTGAATGCAATTAATCAAGTGAAGTGTATGTCACCGATAAATGAGTAAGGAATAATGACACTTACCTAGACCCAAAAGGAGGAAGGAAAAGAAGGCAGCTCTCCCCATGTTTCAATCTCCCAAGTCAAACCACATATGTTAGTAGTGCACATCTGCTGTAGCCTAGTTATGTCCTTATCGTGAATGTGCACGAGCACTAGTGCTTAAATTATGTACAACTGCTGTAGCCTAGTTATGTGTTCACGGAGCACTAGTGCTTAAATTATGATGCACTGGCAATACTGCTCTCGTTATAAACCATCAACTACGCAGCAAAATATTAGGTTACAACACAGGACATGGGTTGTTTTCACTGGGTTGTTTTCACTGGGTTTTTTTCATGCAAGTTGCTCGGCTGACATTTGGAGGTTTGGGGAAGTCACGCTGTCCTCACTGATCTGCAGACATGTTTATACTCCATGAGTGAGTCGTACCGTGGTGTTACACCTATGTTGCTGTATATTTTTATTGTTATTATTATATTTACAGAATCTATATTTAGATGTCTACTAACGATGATGATAAATAAAACAAAAACAAAACAAAATCAAAACTAGCGTCCAGAAAGAGATATGGTCTAACGATGTGTTTTTCGGTGAGAAGCGTTACACCTCTTCAAACATGTATCATATTTTGGAACGAAAGCTGTCAGAAAATATTACAAACTCCTATGCGCTATACGTTAACACTAGACTGTAAAATATCCGAGATATCGTATAAGTAACAATGAAAAATATGTACAGTGTACATTGTTTTAGTATATTTTGTTGTGTTACTTAAAATACCATGCGAGGCTTGGATATAATACACTCCAACAATTGTATAGTTACTTGTGCAATTAATACAAAAAGCGCACTTTTAGGCATCTCATCGATAAATATATACAGGACATTTGTTGAAAGGAAGAAAAACACAATCGCAAAACGTGCTCGCTGGTCGGTCAATCATTGGCATACTCCGTTGAAACCTGATACAGTTTTGCATTGTGGTATCCTTTTGATGGTGCAGTATTCAAACTTTATATTTAGACGACCTCCTCCGGTATTTTTCTGTTCTACAGTCACTGGTGATTTAAATATACTCATAATGAAAAGCTTGGAAGGGATTTGCATGAGGGGTCCAAGTATCGAGAGATTTATCATCAACTGAAATATGAATTTCTACATAATGAATTATCATGTTCAATACTACACCAGAGAATGCGTGGAACGAGGTCAAGCTAAATATTAATCACGTTTCCACTCTTTACATGATCAAACATAGGTACTCCTTCGTTCTCTTATTATGAGTTATCTTTTTACAAAGAAAAGCGAAAAGCGAAATTAATGTCTGCCATCTGCTACAAAAATCTTTCTGAGCAGCTTTCCATTAAAAAGTTTATTTATGTGTTTTTTGCAGTTTTTACATGTATTGTTGCTTCAGGATGAAGAGCATTTGTTATGAAATGTTTTCCGTTATTATGTCTCTCTATAGGTTTTGGTCACACAGAGGAAGATTTTACCTGTTTTTATGGCTTTCTAGGGGTTTTGGTCACACAGAGGAAGATTTTACTTGTTTTTTAAGGCTTTCTATCGGTTTTGGTCACACAGAGTAAGATTTTACCTGTTTTTTATGGCTTTCTATAGGTTTTGGTCACACAGAGGAAGATTTTACTTGTTTTTTATGGCTTTCTATAGGTTTTGATCACACAGAGGAAGATTTTACGTGTTTTTTTATGGCTTTCTATAGGTTTTGGTCACACAGAGGAAGATTTTACCCGGTTTTTTTTAGGCTTTCTATAGGTTTTGGTCACACAGAGGAAGATTTTATTTGTTTTTTTATGGCTTTCTATAGGTTTTGGTCACACAGAGGAAGATTTTACTTGTTTTTTTTGTGGCTTTCTATAGGTTTTGGTCACACAGAGGTAGATTTTACCTGTTTTTTAAGGCTTTCTATAGGTTTTGGTCACACAGAGGAAGGTTTTACCCGGTTTTTTAGGCTTTCTATAGGTTTTGGTCACACAGAGGTGGCAGAATGTTCAATATTACTGAAAGGTTGTACTACTGGTAAACGTCTGATTCTTTGTTTGAAATCGTTCATTATCATCGACTTGGCCATTTTTAATGTGAAATCAAAATTACACGGTGTGGGCCTTTCACCATTACAGCTATGATACATATCAAAAACTGGCATTTTCAGTTCATGTTTCTACATACAGGAATTTGGAAAGCCTTTCAGCATCTCGTTGTATTTTAATGCAAATGCACATATCGGTAGTTCTTTCAATAAGGATTTTAATTAGCTCAGATTCTCTACACTGTATTGTTTATGAGAATAAAACAATTGTCATTGTCGTTGTCATTATTTTAAAGTTCCCAAGACACATATCAAAGTTTGATTTTGCAGTTATTCTTTTTCTTTTTTTTATTAAGCTTTATATAATATTGCAGAAAACAATGAATGTGTTTTGTTACAAATACTTGAATGTGTGGCCAATTTTCATTTAACAGAATGGCTGGTGAACCGTTTCAGTATGAATCCCGATGATCCTGCCGTATCAACTTTCAAGGTGTTCTTATAAGTCAGAGATCTTACTATATTAATTGTATACGTAATAATTGTCTCCAACGGATTTTTATGCTATCCCCATATGTTGTGCTTCACTTCCTTTGGTCAGGTCAACCGCGGCGATGGAACAAGCGTTCTGATTGGTCGAATATATATCGATGATGTGGTAATGCGGAAAGCAGTAGGAACCAAAATGATTCTACTGAATATAAGTGATCCTTCTTGATAACGTCAAAAACATGTGGTTACAAACAACGTAATGTATGTATAAGTGTAACTGATTTATTGGATTCGGTTGATATATTAATAAACGATACATAAACTGTTTCACTCATTAAGTCCGACGTTGTGGACGGCTGCCGAGTACATGTATGTGTCATCTAGCATCGCTGAAAAACAAAACAAAAACCAAACAAATAATATATATATATATATATCAAAAAAGCAGAATAAATTATCCTTAAGGACGAAGTTATAATACAAAAAGAAAAAACTCTCAACAACGAGTCTTTAGTACTTTCATCTCGTCAAGGAGTAAATATATATATATATCACATAAATTCACGTGGTTTTATCAAATTTTTCAATATTTATCAAAACATAACAACGTGTAAGTACAATCAACATCTTGTCCTCCAGCCTATTTATTTAATATACCACAACTAATGGTAAAAAACTCAACATATCGCCCCGCCACAGAGACAAATCAGTACGTCAATATAAAGAAATAGACAATATATCAATATATCGTCCCCGGCAGAGAATAGTCAGTACGTCAAGAAAATGAAATAGATAATATATCCATATATCGTCCCGCGACAGAGACAATTCAATATAATATAATTGACAATATATCGTCCCCCGACAGAGACAATTCAGTGTACCATAATAAAAAGGTAACAGTCTTCATACAAATTAAACATACTTTACTGTACAACAAGGCTAACCGGTTCTTCAGTAAGATGCCTTACTGTAAATGATACAGATTTGTTTTAATACGTACATGCCATGGGCAGCAGCAGCGCTTGTACTTGCATGTGCAAATCGACCCGCAATCATTCTCAGATCTGCAGCGAGCACGGATCGGGAAAGGAAACAAACCTCTTTTCCTGAAAACAAAATTGATACTGATTTTAAGAAAAATACTATAGCTGAGACCATGTCAAGGCAATTTCATTTTTTTTTTTTAAACCCTACGAAATTATAATAATACAATTGAAATGCCCCAAAAATAAATAACCCGGCAAGGTAAAAAACAATTAAGTAAATGCAAACCGAAAGATATTGGAAGTTAATACTTCTATATGATAAAGCCTCGACATTGGTAAACATGGTTTTCAGATAAAATAGTTACCAAACTTCAATGTTGTTTATTGCAGTGCTTTGCATAATGCAATTGGTGATATTTGAAAGATATAATATATATATATATGCAATTGTGAATCAGAAAAACATTCAAGGTCCTTGTGATGGTTAAACATAAAAATGACAAAAGTTTTCATGTTGACAGGACAACGACACCACACAGAAAGTGATCGACGTCATCATACATTATGACGTCACAATAAAACCTACCAAAATTGACGCCAAAATTAACGATGCACTTTAACGTCAACATTTGAGGAAAAACAAAGATGGTGCTACAGAAATAGATACATGTATGTATAGCTACAGGCATGAGTATAGCAACACACTTTTTCACATACAGTTTTTTATATGTTCATGCAGCGAGCTGTGTTTTTAGAACAATTTAATCCAGGTTTTAATATATCGATTAACATTGATTCTTTTGACTCTCGCTGTACAGTGTCTAATGTAGCTTGATATATAGGAACTACATGAAATTTATCATTTGCACAAGAGTGTATATGCTTATTAACAGTTAAAAATCTAAGATGGTCATTTTTGTCTGTTGTCTGTTAAGTGTCATATGTTGACGAAATTCAAAACCAGTTTGTCCAATGTAAAATTCAGAACAATTTGCACAGATCATTGCATAAACAACATTCCGAGATCTACAGTTCATATTAGCTTTTACTCTTTTTTTTTCTTCTCCATTTTTGAATGTAAATTCTTCTCCTTCAAAAATAATACTACAAACACCACATCTTGGTTTGTTACACTTCGTCACACAAACATTTTGTTTAGAACCAATACACCTAAAAGTACACAATAATCATTCAATAGTTTAGGTTGTCTTTTACAATTTATGATTTTCTTTTTGCAAAGGACGTTCATCTATTATCATAAAGTTTTCATAGCTTTTGATAATTTGAAACACATTAAAGTTACATTGGTTGTAAGTAGACACAAACAGTACTATTTCACACTTATCATGATTTTTTTGTTGAACGAGCAAAGGCCCCTTGTCCCTAGCCTTTTGAATGCCGTGTAATATAAGTTCATCTGGATAATTATGAGTTTTAAGAAAAGAGCTCCAGTAAACTGTGTTTCCACTTACTATAGTAACTAATTTAGAAGCTAAATTATATGGTATGTTGATCTTAGTGTGTTTAGCATGAATAGAGAAAAAATCTAAGTAATTATGAGAATCAATAGTAGGTTTTGCATAAATGTCAGTAGAAATGTTATTGTTTTCAACTTTAACTAAAACATCTAAAAATGGCAAAGCGTTATCGCTAATTTCAATAGTGAATTTCAAATCAGGATGGAACGAATTTAACTCGGAGTGAAACTCATCTTTATCAGGATTAGGGGGCCAAATTATAAAACAATCATCCAAAAATCTCAAAAAATTAGTTTGAAAAATAAAGAAAAATCAGCATCCTTACTGATTGCAATTTTCTCATGAACATTTTCCTCTAAATATCCTAATACCAGTGCAGCATAAGTAGGCGCAACCGTAGAACCCATAGCAGTACCTTTGGTCTGCTGATAGTACTTGTCATTAAAATAAAATATATTTCTTTTGAGTACAATGTCCAAAGCATTTAAAATAAATTCCTCATTAAATCTTGAGTCAATTTTTGTAGGGCATTTACGTAGCCAATATTGTATAGCTTCAATACCTCCTAAATCATGCGAGATGTTTGTGTACAAACTTACAACATCAAATAATACTCATTTGGAATGACTTAAGTAAATGTGTTAGGAAATCAAAGTCATCCCTGATATAACTTTTAAATGATGGACAAATGGGTTTTAAAACTAAATCTAAAAATTGACTTAAACGTTGTGCGACAGCATGAGGTCCACCTACAATTGGTCTCAATTTCAAATCGCTTGGACATTCCACATCAATGACGTCAGATTTCTGCTGTTCAATAGTTTCTGCTATGATAGAACTCTTGTGAAATTTAGGAAGGCCGTACAAATATCAAGGGTTTATTTACAAATATCGAGGGCTTATTTACAAATATCGAGGGTTCATATATGGCTGATATACAAACATGTATGTGTCCTATTTATTACGTATATCATCCATCAATTGATTATAAGCATTCGCTATTAGTACAAATCAACGACTGCTAGTGCTATGCCCAAACAGTACATTTCATACCAAATATATGAGCCCGCTTAACTCGAACACTCGGATAACTCGAAGTTTTCCTACGACCCCGTCGACTTCGAGATAACGAAGTTCGACTGTATATCAGTCTTATATATCAGTCTGCACTCGTGTTCTCTGAGTAAGTATAACACACACATGTATTCACCCATCAAATATCATGGGGCCATTGATCCCTCAAAACTGAATATCAAGGGTCTATATTACAAATATCCAGGGTGTATAAACAAATATCCAGAGGTTATATACAAATATTCAGGGTGTATATAAAAATATCAAGGGTATAACTTACTTGCGAGAAGCCATGATTGGTTCACACATTTCACATTCCTGTTTCCGGCAAATACCGGTTTCACCGTTGGGACACAGACAAGTCTTTTTATCCTCGGCACATTGGTCTGATAGTGCGTCAGCATACCGTGTAGATATAATGGCTGTGGGATCAAATAGAATAATAAACAATGAAAATGCTTAACTTTTAAGTAGAAGAATTTACTGAAATTATATATTTAAAGTCAAATAAGATCATACAATACAATAAAATGATATGGTGTTTCTTACTGAAACATTTCTAATATAAACGAACAATATACGCTCGTCACGTGGCATGTAGAAAACCTTTATATCTCGTTGTACAAAAAGTGTCGTGTTTAAAACCTTTATGATGCATTCTTGTAAAAAAATGTATTAAAACCTTGAAATGTAAAAATAAAAAAGTATTTCTTAGTAGAGTTGAATTATTTCGTGGAGATTTTGAAATAGAAAAAAATTTTCCTGTACTTTACCTCACTAGCCTGTAGCAGTATACTTTGCACATATAATTTCCCCTCAGACACAGCACTTGACTTGGCCCAATGTGATGATACATTCTGTAGTTTGAACCAAATGCATTATGCAATTTAGGGTTGAGACTACTTTAAACTTTACTCTGAGTTTATTCTGATATAGTCCATATTGCTATTTTCTTTGATAAATCGGTTCGTTTCGTATCAATCAGAACAGCCCTATACACAGAAGCAGGTCTAAAGAGCAAATGAGTGGTCGCCCATTCAGCAGGAACGACCGGAGCACGACTGACTGTGACGTAGATGCAGCGTTGTGTAAAAAAAATCTCAACCCTTGAAACGTAATGGACTTAGTCCAACAATAACGTTTGTGTTGAGTCAACTGTAGTACCGGAGGTGAAACGGATGTTGTCACGAACACAAACATGGTAGCATCCCGAACATCAAAGAGGTTTTGCCAAGATTCACTGCGTTCGGAGACTGGCTACGATCGATTCAGAATGACTACATATTATACTATATCTGTATGTTATGTATAACAAGATTTAGGATGAGTAAATTTTAAAGTAAAACCACGGACTTAGATAATCTAATCTAATTCCGTGGTAAAACTAAGCTAGGTCACCTAAACCATTAACTTTGTTTCTAACTTTTTTGAAAAACAACCATGTTCTCAAGTCGTCAAACACTCACCTAGGCACAAGCACACAGCGAAAAGGACTACAGCGATCTTCATGGTTCCGTCTGGTTCTGTCTGTTGAAATAATACAACCACGCGTTAGTTTCCGCGTTTTATAGTTAGTCGCATCCTGCAAAGTCGGGTTTTCCAGGAAAAACATCGTTTCTATAATACATCTTAATACATAACGACATGTTGGAGTTTCCGTAAATATCTTCCGGTGAAAATGAAAGGATGGTTCGACAAAAACTTAACCCATTAAATTTCTACAAACAAGGGCCGTGGCATGTAACCGCAAACACAGTGACAAAACGTAGTACACCGAGCGCCAAGGAGAGTCTGGCTGACCACAGACAAAAACATGCAAAAAATCATGTTAGACTAATTGCACGATTATAACGAATTCAAAAGGAAAATAATGCTGACTTTAAACACATCTTATTGTCCTATAGGTACAAAGCATTTGGCACAAAAGTTATAGCAAATTATGAAGCCATCTCCTATCAACAAAATATGTCATATATAAACAAGTGATGACATAGACAATTAATTTCAAATTCAACAATAGAGAGAAGACAATTACAATTTGTTCATGTAAATTATAACAGATAGATATTTGTTTTAGATAGTTATGTGTAGTTTATGTTTAGAATCATCAGCTGGATTTTACATAACATTACGACATGTTGGAGTTACCGTTCATATCTTCCCGTGAAAATAAAAGGATTGTTCGACAAAAACCTAACCTTTAAATTTCTACAAACACGGACCGTGACATAGCCACAACCTCAGGGACAAACGTACGTAGTACACCAAGCGTCAAGGAGCGCGCGGCTAACCACGGACAAAAACATGCAAAAAATCTCATTTGTCAAACTAGATGCGTCAATGATTTTCTTTTTCTTTTTTTATTGACACCATTGACATCAGAAGTGATACAAAATTAAAATTCACAAAATAATTACATTTATGTGTATGTATACTGCCATGTGTATGTATACTGCCATGTGTATGTATACTGCCATGTATGTATACTGCCATGTGTGTATACTGCCATGTGTATGTATACTGCCATGTGTATGTATACTGCCATGTATGTATACTGCCATGTGTGTATACTGCCATGTGTATGTATACTGCCATGTGTATGTATACTGCCACATCTCACAACAAATCATTTACAGTGAAGCCGAATCGACGTCGATTTTATATTGTTAAATCGTACATTTTTTAAACACTTTTTCTTCAATAACATTTGTTTAATCATACGTTGTAGAACAAACTCTTTCCTGTTTAAGGAGACTTGTCTTGATGGAGAACTTTTTTATTATTATTTAAATTGAAAAACACAGTTGTTGGAGAACGAGACTCGATTTGGGTGGGAAAATAGGTCTACATCAATCAATGTATGAGGAGGAAGAAACGCTTACCTTTCCGGAACACCCAGTTCCGCTTCTATTGGGGTTCGTGCATGGTTTTAGTTTTGATGTCATCGATTCCCATAGAAACCACTTTGCTAGGTGTCCTCACCAATCTGAGGAAAATATCTAGAAATATTCTCGGATATGTGTGTGCAAGGAAGAATTCGTCGCTGTGTTGTTAGACGTGACACGTACTGGTAAATATAAACCATCATATAAAATCCATTGCTTTATACCAAAGCCGGACGACAATTCAATACATTCACAAGTACTTCGATACCAAATATATGTCAGCTATTGTTTTAAAAACCTAGGGTTCCCTACCTACCTTACAATAAATCCAGAAGCACAACTGGCCTTCTCCCCCTACCGCGTCAACTTAACACAAGTCATACCGATGGGACAAGAGGACTTATTGTTATGTGTAACTAAGTTAAACAGTTCATTAGAAGCAGAATCATATTTGTGAATAAGTGGGAGAGAAAAATACATTCATTTAGTTTCTTTCGATAAGATTCAAGATCACTGTGGGACGGGAGACAACCCTAATGAACAGACCCGACTACACGTTATCCATTAAAACATTCATTATTGTTTACCAATTAAGGTCGTTATAATATCCTCGGGTTACCGGTTTCCGCGCACTTAAGAAGCATCCGCGATTTCGTACTCATATCGGCAGAAAACTGTTGAAATAACGGATGACTGTCATAAACACAATCTACTAATGGAAACAAAAAAACTAGCAACATAAAACTGTATTTAAAAAAACCCAGAACAAACAATGTTTTAACAAATTTCTCCCGTCGTAAGTAGCCGTCATATGTTTCAGTGTGTCTATTTTGATTTAGTGTTCAAAGAAAGATAACTCGAATACACCAAAAAGAAATTCTCTACAGTGATCTGCAAGTTTGGAATAAATAATATATCATTGATCGTCAAATTAATTATCAAAACATTTTTTTTTATAAATTTCACATTTTTAATTGATTTTTCAAGATGTCAAATTGAACGAATTCATGTAATTATATAAATTTATTTATTATATTTATTTAGTTATAACACGGACTTAGATAACAATTCAATTCAATGTTAACTCTGATAAAAATGAACTGCATGGTTATTTGATTAAAAAATCCTTCTTCTGGTGTGGAATTTTGTATTAAACTTGTAAGGCTTTGAAGCATAATAATTTGCATACATCCGATGAAACACACTTCTGCTGTTGATTTGTGTTAAGGTTTTGACAGTCTGGTCCCTTTTTTCTTCTTTAGCATGCTGAAATTAGAAAAGATACATCAATCAAGTCAGATGGACAAAATCCATGTCAAATTTGGGAATCAAACCACAGCTGTCCTGTTCAATATCTGCCAATAGGCTGGTATATTTTGATTTGAAAATGTCCACCCCTGTGTGGAAGTGGGATGTACCATGTAACGACTAGTTATCAATCAGCCTCATTATCACCCCTGTGTACATGTGTATCTGCATGGACACCTTTCAAAATGTATACCTAAGACCCAGAATTATGGGCGGATTTCAATTGGTCGAGTGTTTAACACTCGGGCCTTCCAAGCAGGCGGCCGGGGTTCGGTCCCCGAAGTCGCTGTACGAATGGAATATTAGAGAGAAAGTGTGTTTCTCCTGCCCAAACAACTCCAACAACCCAAGTGGAGTATAAATTGGTCTGGGGTGGGGGTTGCAGTATCTGTGCTGTAGCATTCAAGTGAGGTGGCACTATAAATGATACCGTTGAAAGCACGGTCCCACTACAAACAGAACACTATACATCTCCAGCACACACACAAGCATACACACATAGGGAGATATTAAGCTGGTGGCATAGGACTAGTAGTTAGCGCCTGATAAGGCAGCTCCTGTGAATTCCTCGTTATTGTATTGATTAATATATATATATATGCTAATTGTATTGGCTGTACAAAATTGTATATCTTTGTACTGTTAAGCGCTTTAGAGTGGCTTATGTTAGCTAGATATGGCACTATATCAAATGTTGTATATTTATTTATTTTTAAAACAAATAATTGGTTTGAAAAAATGTAAAATATATACCCAGAAAATGTCCACCACTGTGTGAAAGTTGGCCATGGATGTATCATGTACATACCTGTCAATCAGCATCATTATAACTTCAATCTAATCCCTATGTACATATGTATCTGCATGGGCAACTTTCAAAATTTGAAACTATCTGCATAGATTGCAAATTAAGACAAAGTATGGATATAACAGTTTGACACACTTCTTACTCAGAACAATAGTTCACATTCAAAACTGTTATTATTTCATTTTTCTGACAGCCATGCACAATTTTAGACAGACCTACAATTCATTATGTAAGGTGACATAAGATTATATAATTATCTTGCATTAAAATCCATGGCGTAGGACATATGTTATTTTAAATGCAATTTTTTGAAAAAGCTCCAGCTTAATTTAACTCAGTAAGCCTAGCTATATAACTTTTAATGTCCCTTCACCATCACTTTTGCAATACAACTTTGGAAATCTTTCTCTATTAACATATAATTTCCAGTGGATAGCCCTTGTCTAGTGAATCAGTACATAATAAACTGTGAAAACAATTTAACACTGGCCTTGTTATTCAACAATTTAAAAAAAATCTATATGATTTCATCATTGAGAATAATAGGGATTTGTCAACAAGCAGATAGGCATTTGATACAAATACAAATAGTACAAAATCAGATTGGTAATCTAAGGCAATATGGCGGCCATTATTAAAAACACACCGATTAGCAACTGATTTCAAAATACAAATACTACAAAATCAGAGATTGGGGGACACTTAAAAAACACCCGAAGCAATAGAAAACATATAAATAAACAATTTGGTTTAGTCCGTATGTCAAAATAATCTATTTATTAGCAAGTTAAGTAGATCACGATGGAGTGTAAAATGCAAGACGATGAAGGAAGTGAAATCACACGCGATTGCATCACGATGAATTTTGGTCTATATTCAGAGCCTTAAAAATACTCTTTCTAGATCGTCAGTGCGATCGAAATCGTTTTGTGTACATGATAATATACTAGATTGTAATTATGTAAACAAATTATTACATAGTTATGATCAATTACCGAGAAGTACATGCATTCATGAACCAACCCGCGATCAGTAATCTAAGGCAAAATGGCGGCCATTATTAAAATACACTGATTAGCAACTGATTTCAAAATATAAATACTACAAAATCAGAGATATGGGTTCACTTAAAAAACACCCGAAGCAATAGAAAACATATAAATAAACAATTTGGTTTAGTCCGTATGTCAAAATAA